GACTTGCACTCGTAGGTGAAAGAAGAATGTTCAAGCAAATTGAAGTGACACATGTCACAATGGATTTAAAAGAACATGACAGGTGAACAAGGACAAAGGATTCGAAAGTTGGGGTGCTTTATGCGATGAAAGGGCGTGTTTTCTTCTCTCAATCACCTTCAATCAAAGGATCAAAAAGGGACATCAAAGTAATTAATTAGTTTTAAGTACTCACATGATCGTGATACTCTCGATAGCCACGCCAAGAATACCTAGAGAATGTCTTGTATGCACTTCCATGTACTGTGCATACGCTGGTAGACTTCGAAATCCAAACATCAGCTTCAATGAGTTTATTACCACCATCAGCAACGAAATTCCCTGGATTAGTCAAGTTCAAACAACAAAGAAAGTCTAACAACCAATTGCGCTTACCGTCAAAGCCAGTAAGCTAACCACAATGGCAGGAAATTTGATGACACGAGTAAACTGCTGACACCATCTCACGGATTTTTCTCGTACTTTAGAGCAGAACTGAAAGGACTAGGTATGGCCAAAAAGACCACAAATGGCTAAATAACTTCGCCAGTACCATGCGCGGAACATGAATCAAAGCAAACTTGATTGATGAATGATATAAGACAGAAAACTACAGCAAAAACCAACAGATACATCAACTAAAAATCCAAAGAAATAGAATGCAAAATCCTTTACCTGGCTAGCCATAGCACTTGGGTGACGCATTCTCACAGCAGCTCCATTAGCCCAGCCATTGCTTATACTGTGCTTCGGAAACCCATCCAGATCTTCAGTCTTTTCAGAATGGTTCAGGCCACAATCTCCATAGCCACCTATGGAAGAAAAGGTGCCATTCGTTAGGGGAGAATATCCGTACACTGATGATGAGAACAAGTAGTATGGATCGCCACAATCGCCAGCACCAATAGGGTTTCCTTAAAAAGCGCGAGTAACACGTAAGCTTAGCAAAAACTGTCTCGTGATGAGCTTAGTTCGTTTTGCGAGTTCTAAGCAGATACGCCCCTTCGCAAACCATCTTTATCGAAAATCGTAAACATCAAATACCAACTTACCATTCGCGTAAACCTTAGCTCTCAGGCGCAACGGTGAATAGCCGTGAGATGCTGGCGAATAGAATGAAGAAATACCGTCTAGAAAGAAATTTTTTGACTTGAAGTCTTGCCTTTATAAAGACTTACCGTAGTCCCGACTCTTTATGTTATTATTGATTGTATAATTATTCAAGGCTTCAGCTCGTTGCTGACAGTATCTCTCCAAACGATTTACCACGATATCGTCCTGGTCTGGTATGGAGATTGAGTTCTAGATAAAAAATTGCCATAATCACATGTCATTTGAGCTCTATCGCATAAAGTAAGTCATAAATCAAAGAACAATAACTAACCATGGTCATTTCCCCAACGATACCAAACATTTTTGCGAAACCTATCGGTGTCGACACCAACAGCAGCATCACTCCGGCCAGTGATACAAAGGAATAAATGAGTGGTAGATTTACAGATGTTATGCTGATCAAGGAGACCTGTAAAAGCTTGATATAGGGAAAAAAATTACAAAAAGGGTCCTGTAAATAAAGGAAGAGGAGAAAAAACATTATTTTACATCTATAAATTGAAGGTTTTCACTGAAGATATTTTCATTTCAGAAACAAAAAATTACGCAAAAGGGTTTAGCATGCTCGGCGATTGCGATTTGCATTCGACACGTAAGGG